ATTAATTAATTACTTCTTCTGCCTGCCTTCCTGCTTATCTTCCTGCATAGGATCCTCCCTTTCTTTCATAAATATTATGGAGAAGATGAATGAGTGTACATTGGCCAAAAACTCTGAGGTACAAAAATAATACTGTCCTGCCATCAAGGAGCATGGATTCTAGTGGAAAAAGCAGTCAGGTAGATAATGACAATGAATCATGAACACAGGAACAGGAGGTGACACAGAGGGCATTTTGCCATCTGCCTAGGAGATCAGAAGGACAGAAAAAGAACCAATACTTGGAACATCACAAGACCTCAACAAATGGTCTGGAGTCCTTTTTACCCTGGAGGATCCATCCATACCTCCAAACAGAAATTCCCCACTGTAGCTCCCACAGCGCTGCACTGCTCTCATTTCTCTTTAAGAGAGAACCTATACAGGGGTGCAGTTTACTGATCACCTCCATCTGGAATGACTTCAGGAACCACCTTGGCTTTCCAGTCAAGGTGGATGACTAAAAGCAGCGTGGGTACTATGGCCTGGCCATTTCTGCCCAAGTCAAGCTCATCTTTGGGTGTCATGACAACAGAGTTCTCTGCTAGGCTGGCTGAAACTCTCAGAGTTGTATTCCTGAGTCTCTCTTCAACCCTTCTTCCTTCCTTCCTTTCACAGGTGCCAGAACTACGTTGTAATCTGAGGCTTTCCCCTCCTGTCCCTCTTCTCTCTCCACTTACTCTTTAATGGGCATTAGTTCCTAATAAATTCTCTGAGTCTGAGTTTTATTTCTGATAAAATAGATAATATCCTCCTCATACAATTATGTGATAATTAAATGACCTAATATAGGTGAATTATCTCAGTATAAAGTCCTAAATAAAATTACTATGATGATTATTGACTACCAATGACAGAGGTGTACACAAAACCAAATAACATGCTATAATGATATGTCAAGTTCTTTTTTTTCTCCATTTCTTAGATCTTTCATTGTTTCAATTAGCAATAAACACGCAAAGCTAGATCTTTCATTGTTTTAATGTGCATTCTAGAACAGTGGCTCTCAAACTTATGCTCAAGGCAGCAAACTTGGAGATCATGATGCTCTTTGCTCTTTACCATGAGATATATTCATGTCCGTCATATTATTAATTCATTCAACAAATATTTGAGATTTTATTGTGCGCCAGAAACTGCTCAGGGTGCCAAGTTACAATAGGGAACAAGATTTGGAACCTATTGTTAATTAAGAGGAATAAGCTTTTTAATAGAAATAAGCACAATAATAAATACAGTCATATCTCCCAAGAGATCTGTATTAACTCATTTAGTCTTCTCAAAACCAGATGAAGCAGATAGGGAATACAACTATGCACATTTTATAGATGAGAATACCAAGGCACAAAAAGAAATAAAATAACTTATTCAAGATCAAAGAGCTAGTGAGAGGCAGAGACCAGGCTTCCCTCTCAAGCAGTGTGACTTGAATTCTTGCCAACATTTAAATCAGATATTCTTAAACTGTAACTATATCAGAGACTCCAGAAAGGGGATTGTTAAAGCACAGATTGTTGGGACTGACCCAGACATTTTCTGATTCAGTAAGTTATGAGGTAGGGGTCAGGACTTTGCTCTTTTACAAATTCCAAGATGTGGCTGCTGCTGGTCCTGTTGGTCCTGGGACCACGCTTTGGGAATTACTGCTAAGCAACACTGCCTCTTTATAAACCTACCTGTTATAATGATCTGAGCACCAAATTTTGGGTTGCATAGAAAAGTGTTTCATTATCATTTTAGGAATGGAACTTCCAGGTAAATCAACAGAGGATTATATTTTGATCACTGAAACTTGACCAAGAGTTATCTAGCATCAGCACTTGGCCAAGAATTATCTAGTATTGACACATGACCAAGAGTTATCTAGCATCAACACCAAGGTATGTTGGTTCAACGACCATCTGATATTTGTGTTCTTTTTGGGAGGGGTAGGCAGAGGGAGAGAGAGAGAAAGAAGCTTAAGCAGGCTCCATATCCAGTGCAGACTCTGAAGGCCAGGCTCGATATCACAGCCCTGAGGTCATGACCTGAGCCAAAACCAAGGGTCGGGGGGATAAACTGACTAAGCTAGACGCCCCTATATTTGTGTTCTAACTTACTGAAATGATTTCTGTCTTCAGAGAAAAGGCACCTGCCACTTTTATCCTGATTCTACAATTTTACATACAGGCATAAAAGTATCTGAATGTCTTATTCTGTTTTCCAGTACATTGATCCATGGGTATTTTAGATGATGAACTATGTCTTTGCATTAGAAATTTATTTTAAAATATCTTTTTAGGGATCCCTGGGTGGCGCAGCGGTTTAGCGCCTGCCTTTGGCCCAGGGCGCGATCCTGGAGACCCGGGATCGAATCCCACGTCAGGCTCCCGGTGCATGGAGCCTGCTTCTCCCTCTGCCTGTGTCTCTGCCTCTCTCTCTCTATCTGTGTGACTGTCATAAATAAATAAAAAAAAAAATTAAAAATTAAAATATCTTTTTAATTTGTTCCTTATATTAAATTTGGTATTTTCTTTTTCTTTTTTATTAAGCATGTAACTAGCTTATATGTACATTTCATTTCAGAATAGTAAAGGTCTCTATAAAATATTTGTTATGAAAATAAAACTTAGGGACTGATCAGTTTGAGAATCACTCATTTTCCTCCCTGCTAATGGAGACAGGACAAATATTTTGTTTTGAGGGGGAATAGTTTGGGAATTAGTAGATAATTGGAGATAAACTAAATTTAAAATCAAGGCACTTAAGGTTTATTTTTGAATCTCAGTAACTAGCAGTGTGACATGACATTGAGCAAGTTACTATGACCTCTGGATTTACATTTCCTAATATTAAAATGAACCCATTAGGCTAAACGTTCTCCAAGATACCTTTTTAGTTATCATTCTTTAAAGAATGATAAAAGAGTTTAAAAGACTATTTAAACTCTCTTCTCTATTAAGTATGCTACTTTGATTATACCTATCAAAGAAACTTCTAACGGGACTGTTCAACCCTGCAATATTGACAACTGAGTAAAAGTTTTAATGTTCTAACAACAAATAATATGCTTTCCCAGGGACTTAAAAAAGCAATACTACCCGGCCAGCATATCTCTAAGTGTGTTAGTTTATTACATGATTTTAACTTCTTTTTTTTTTTATGATGTCAACTTTTAATCTTAAGTATGGGGCTATAAAATCGAAAAGGCCTTTGCAGTTTGTGCCTACAGTACAGAGTATATACACTTCTGAGCTTTCAAGAGTAACTCCTTGGGCAGCCTGGGGGGGCTCAATGGTTTAGCCCCGCCTTCAGCCCAGGGCGTGATCCTGGACACCTGGGATCCAGTACGAGGTCGGGCTCCCTACATGGAGCCCGCTTCTCCCTCTGCCTGTGTCTCTGCCTCTCTCTCTCTCTCTTTCTCTCATGAATGAATAAATAAAATCTTTTTTTTTTTTTTTAAAGTAACTCCTTGCCAAACAAATTGGCTTTCAGGCTTAGAAACCAAGATAAGATTATATAGGGGAGAAAAAAGTTTTCTTCTACCTTCTTGGCTAGGCTAAGAATTAAATTGATACGAAACAGATTAACAGAAGGAAATACAATGTAATTTTGTCTATACAGGAGTCCCACATATGTGAGCAGTTCAAAGCCAGAAAGGTAAAACGGGGTATATATGCCAACCTGAGCTAAGGAAGGGCCTGGTGCCTCAAAAGGGAGGGGTATGACTCACAGGGCAGTTAAGAAGAGCAGATATTTGGTAATTAAATGTTTGCACTGCCATACAGATGGGTCAGATAAAATGTACATCTGGTAATGACTCTTAATTCCAGGAAAGATCCCCAATTTAGATTCTTCTAGGTAGTTGAGAAGCAAAACATTTCTCTTGGCCCTGTAGTCTTGAGTGCCTTCAGCTCAATATAGTCCCCATGTGTAAGTGGCACATTTTGAGGAGACTTGGTCTGAACCCCTTCACTTATGCATTTATCGTAACACCCCAGGGCAATCGGAGTGCTGTTAAGTCAGAATCTAGGGAGAACAAGATGAATAATGTGAATAATGTGCCTATTTACTTGTAACCAGTGTGATGGGGGCAAGCCCCACGATGCAGGGACACATAAAAGGCTATTTTTGTTCATCAGTTGCCCTTGATGCTGACTCAAGGCCGGACACACTCCTTTTCCTCTGCGCGCAACAGGAGCCCCAACTTTACACCAACAGCCAGGCGAGTCGGAGGAGTAGTCACAGAAAAGGGCGCTATTTAACCTAAGCAAAGAGGCACTTGGAAGAGTGCTACCTTGTCATCACCGACAGGCCCACTGGCACCCTGGGACCCGCTCCTAAGACCACTTTCTCCCAGCAGCTCCCTTCCTCTCTCTGGGCAAGCTACTTCCTTCCTCTGGGCCTCCCGCTTTCATCTGTACAAGGAGTGTGCGTGGGTGTGCCCACAGGTGCGCACTAAACCCTGTCAAGTTTGCAGGGGGAAGAAAAACAACTCACACGCAAACCCCGCAAGTTTGCATTGCAACTGAATGCTCTCTTTTTTTTTTTTTTTTTTTTACAACTGAATTCTCTTGTGGATAATAAGCAAACACCATTAACAGGAAACCAGAACCAATCAAGCAAAAAAAAAAAAAAAAAAGGCTGTGAAGGTTTTGGAGAACGGAAGGAAGCGCAGTTCTGCAACAGCTGGGGTGGCTGGGGCAGCAAGTACAATCCTTCCGAGGGGAGGGGAGCAACCGAGTTGGTGAGGGCTCGGCGGGGACGAAAAGCCCCCGAGGAAACCGCGCTCGGCGGCGCTCGCCCAGGCTGGGCCCTCTCACCGCCTCCCAGTCCCCCTCCGCCCTCGCCTCACCTCTTCAGCCAGCCCCCTCCCCGAGACTGTGTCTCCGCCCCTTTCTCATCTCTGGTCGCCCCCCACTCCCCAACCCACACACACTCTTTCTTTCTCCCCACGCTCCCCCCACCTCCTGCCCCGTTACCTCTCCGCGAGCGAAGTCAAAGCGCTTGGAGACGCCCCGCAGGCCCTCACCTGCAGGCCCGCGCCCCGCCCCGCCCCGCCCCGCCCCCGCGCCGCGCCCCGCCCCCTCCCGCCCCCCCCTCCCGCCCCGCGGGCCGCGGGTTTCCGGCCGCTCCGGCTATTTTAAGGCTCGCGCGGTGCGGCCGGCCTGGCCCTCGGCCCCCGCTCCCCGCCGCGGACGCGCCTCCGCCGTCGGCACCCGGCAGCCATGGGTCCCCGGCGCGGCCCGCTGCTGGCCGCCGCGCTCCTGCTGCTCTCCGGCTTCGGCGCCGCGCACGGCGACACGCCTGCCAACTGCACCCACCCTGAGCTGCTGGGCACGTGGGTCTTCCAGGTGGGCCCCGCGGGGTCCCGCAGCGTCAACTGCTCCGTGATGGGTGAGTCGCCGCGGCCCGGCCCCCGCCCGCCCCCCGCCCCCGGGCTCCTTCGGTGCTGGCCCGACCTCTCCCGCGGCGCCCCTGCCTGGGGGAGCCGGGGGACTCGGGGCCCTTTGGGGCGCCCCTTCCCGCTCCCGGGCCAAGAAGGCAAAGTTCAGCAGCTGGGGACTTCTCAATTCTCGTTTGCTTACTACAGTACCTAAAGACCATTTTTTTTTTCAGGAACTTTTCTTTCCCTGGGTTTTAAGTGTTTTGGCTTAGTTTGGAAGAGTCGAGACCGGACAGTCTTCTCAGCTCCCTGTCCAGTCTGCGTTTAAAGAAAACTGTGCCCATGGACTGTGAGCTCAAACAGTGGAAAACACAGCAGGAGACACTTTTCCTTTTGTTAGTTTGTGGGAAAACAGCCCTTATGCCTCGCGTTTTTGGTTTACACGTGTGCTGCTCGTCCAAGAAAACTTCTGGTGTGGCTCCACAAGGTTTCCTGTGCTGCAGAGAGAGAGAAAAGTTTCCCCCTTTCTCCTCTTCTCTTCCCTTCTCTTTCCTCCTCCTCGTCCTGCTCTTCCTTTTCTTTCTCCTTCTTTTATTGTTATTTTTTTTAATTTTCTTCTTATTTATTTATGATAGTCACACACACAGAGAGAGAGAGAGGCAGAGACACAGGCAGAGGGAGAAGCAGGCTCCATGCACCGGGAGCCCGATGTGGGATTCGATCCCGGGTCTCCAGGATCGCGCCCTGGGCCAAAGGCAGGCGCTAAACCCCTGCGCCACCCAGGGATCCCCTTTTATTGTTATTTTTTAAAAATGACTCTTTAACCAGTAATTATACTTTGGGATGCCCAGAGCCAAGCATAGCATCTGGCTCATGGAGGGCTGTCAGTAAGTATCTAGTGTTAGAACGCCACTGGCATATTCCATATGCCCTCAGATACCACATCTACACCGAGGACAAATAATTTAGTGAAGGGAGAAGAAAAAAAAAGCAATCTCAGGTCAAAAGAAGCACTCTTGTTCTGCCCAAACCCTTACCACCCTGTGGCATGTGCAGAATGAGTGAAACACCCTGCTGCAGTCTCCTTGTCAGCAGAACGAAGATTGCCAGGTCATTTGATACTAAAACAGACCTACTCAACTGTCCAATTCCACTCCAGATGACTATGTGGCATTTCGTAATCCTGGGCATTATAAACATCTTCAGTTTTAAACGTTGAATTAGGAGATCCAAAGCAAAGGGAGATCAGAATTTGTGCTCTTCTGTCACATGCAATCTTCTGTTTCAGAGCATTAATCTGAAACCTGGAAAACCCGCCCAGAGTGTGAAATCTCCAGATGGACACAGCAGAACTCTCAGGCAGCCTCTGCCTGTGAGCCTCTGTCTTGGACTTTAATCTAGTGGAAAAACACACAGATCTACACCCCATATTCTGAAAGTTGAAAGCTCAGTTTCTGTCAGCACAAATTAGCTTTATAGGATAGAAACCGTGAGTTTGCTAAATGCTGTGGAAGGATTCAGATTCTGAGGTTTTGAAATGTAGAGCCATTGAAGAGAGAGATACCTCTTTTCTTCTCTGAAGAGATAATTTCCTTTGTCCTTATGATCTGGTAGCAGATCCTTTTATAGTTTATGTTTGTCATTTTTTTTTTCACTACCATTTTGTATTCTACCCATTTCTGCCTGTCACTTTAAACATCCCTTATTTCTCCTTTTCCTCAGTGGACAAATTTCTTCAGTGTTTGTTTGGGCTCTAAGAAGATAGGGGCTGTACTTTTTTGGGGCCTGTCTTCCTGCTGGGCTACTTGCCATAACTGTAACTGTTGAGCCCTCACTTCACAGATCTGAGACCCCTGTGGGACTGTACAGATGGAAGCAGCAGGGTGGAGACTGATCTCCTCACAAGCCAGACTGGTCCAAATCCAGTAGCATGAAAGGAAAGCATTTTTAAATAATGGAAATTGTAGAGATTTCCCCTCCCATTTGAAGTCAAAATAATTTTCCTTTGTTGTGCATTTTTTTAGGACCACCAGAAAAAAAAGTAGTGGTGCATCTTGAGAAGTTGGACACGGCATATGATGATTTTGGCAATACGGGCCATTTTACCATCATTTACAATCAAGGCTTTGAGATTGTGTTGAACGACTACAAGTGGTTTGCCTTCTTTAAGGTCAGTTTTGTTGGAAGTGTGTTTGTATTTTCAATGATTTGATATCTGAAGCTGCTTCTGATCAGACCCTCAGAATTTTGATTTTAGATTAAGAAGATAACTAGAAGTGACACCACCGGGCACCTGGGTGGCTCGGTCAGTTAAGTGTCCGGACTTGATCTCGGGGTCCTGAGTTAGAGCCCTGCGGTGGGGCTTGTGATCACTGGGTTGGCTGATATGGTGCTGCTGCCCAGCATCGCTACTACATAGTGATAGCCTGGGAAAAGATCAATAATCAAAGTCTGGTTTGTACTGAATGTGTGTAGCTTTCACACCATTGTAATGTCAAAGATGGTAAGTCGGACCGTTATAAGGTTGGGGATCATCTGTGCTATAATGTGCTAGATATATAAATGTGAATGACTCACTTTATGAAGCTGTGACAAAGAGATGGAGAACTTGAGTTACTCCTTGGGCTAAAGTCAAAGGTAGCCCTGTCCGTCTAGCTTGTTTTCTTCTTTCACTGGGGAGGACAAAGTGTTATCCATTCTTCCGTTCTAACACAATGCTTCCAATTGCAGATACATTCTAGGATGAAATGGTTTACACACATTGCAGTCCATCCCAGATATCCTTCTGAAGTTGGAACTTTTCCTCTTAGCAGAGTGTACTGGTTTAAATAGATTGAGGACACAAGCCTGAGACTCACTGTTTCTTACTATAAATAAAGTATAAACAAACAGACTTTTTCATGGAGGAAGGTTTTATAGCCTTTGGAACATCTGGTAAGAGTTGGCCAATTATAAGGATTCATGGGAAAGTGGAGAATGAATCTGTTAAAGATGATGACAGCACCAAAAAAGCACCAACAAGAGAGTAACCTCTAAATTTATTGTGATTTCTCATGATCTAATCATTAGGATATGGTGTTACGTGTTAACATCTAAGCCAACTATTTTTCTTGGAATAATAGCTTATTGCTCCTGAGAATTCCTCTTTAACGTGGAAGAAAAAGAAGGCGAGAACAAGAGGAAAAAGTTATCCCCTCTTGCCTGGATTGGCTGGTCTGATAATCAGCTGGTGGGAGCTGATCTATCCATTTTGAGGATCCAGTTGAGGGCTGGCTATTCATTTTATTAATTGGAGCCCATGCTTGACCATTTATGAAACATTTTACTATCACCAGGATACTATTTATTTAAAAAAACACGAACATATCTATATGAATTTTTTTAATTGTAATACGTAGATAAGAATAATTCAATCTGAATATAATTGTTGGTCTGTATATCGATGAGCCTAGGACTCTACAGACCTATTGTAGAGGTACTCCACGATAATGCTTCAAAAGTTCTTTGCAGGTTGAGAACCACTTGCCTATGGAATTGATGTACAAGCAAAGAGCTATTCAAGACAGTTGTTCACTGTGTACTCTACCTTCCCTCCCCCTTGTTCTTTTTTGCTTGACACATACTAGGTACTTAGTTGATAATTTGTTTAAAAAGAAATGAATCAATGAAGTAGAACTCAGTTGAGAAAGAGATTGAATAAAAAATTAAGTATTAGACTGTTTACAAGTATAGATGAGTAAATTATTTAAGTGTATATAAGTATAGATGAGTAAAATAAAACTAAGTGTTAGTTATATGTAAGTATAGATGAGTAAATAAAATAGTTTTACACTTTTGGCTTAGAAAATTTTTTCATTCTTCCCTTCTATAGAATGGGAAAACTGTTGGGCCTACTTCTAAAGTCACCATTTAATTCTCTGAGCCATAACCAGAAATAGATATGGGCAGTTTCCCTATATTAATACTTTTCCATCAGTTTGTCTGCTCTCAGCTTAAATAGGAATCCAAAGCTGGTAGGGACAGCGGGAACAGCTTGTGGCTGAAGGGGGAATCAGAATACCTCTTTGTATTTCCCTTTAAATCACGGTATAAGCAGATTCAGTATTTTTCCATAGCTTCAGAACATGTCATAGGTCAATAGAGAGCCAAATGAGGCTCTCTTTGTAAAGCCAAATGAGGTTACAAGTGTATTCAGCCACATGTCGGGAGAATCAATATATATACTGTTGTAGGATAGAAGCCTACCTAATCCTAGGCTCCTGGAAGGCATTCACTGAATAGGAATAAAAATAGGAAGAGTGTTCTTCCATTAACTGATTTCAGTATATATTTTTAAGTGCCTAATTTGACCAGAACCGTTATCAGGGCTGTTCTCGTGCTGAGAAATCCATCACTCTGACTGATCAATAGTCAGACCTTGTGATACGATCATAATTTCAATAAACAGAGTAGGAGAGGGCAGCCTGGGTGGCTCAGTGGTTTAGCATTGCCTTCAGCCCGGGGCATGATCCTGGAGACCCAGGATCGAGTCCCATGTCCGGCTCCCTGCATGGAGCCTGCTTCTCCCTCTGCCTGTGTCTCTGCCTCTCTCTCCTCTCTGTGTATTCTCATGAATAAATAAATAAAATCTTAAAAAAAAAAAAAAAAAACAGAGTAGGATATATATAAGATACTTGGCTTTAAAATTTCTCTTAATATTATCAAGTAGTTCTAGGTAAACATGTTTTGCAGAGTGATAAAATCTATGTGCCTTTGGCAAATCCCAACTGACAGAGTAATGGGGAACTGAATTTTTAAAAATTTGATAAAAACGATAGACTGGAATTAACTGTAGGTCATAGGAGAGGCAAGCAGTTTTGGTGATACTGGCTGGCCAGAAAGGCTTGCTGTCTTTTACCTCACACCTCAGGGCAATTTCCTGCATTGGTGCTGGGGAGACCAACTGGGTTCTAATTCAAGAAAAATGCAAACCTATTTAAATGAGCAAAGCACATGTGGCTTTTTCTACAGACTTAGAAGATCTCTTTTAAATGAAAATTATTTTTAGAAATGAAAATTTGCCAAAGCATAAGCAGTATTTATTTAAAATATCTTCTGTAAACTATGACATAATCTATTCAACCTACCAGCGTCAAAGAAACATCTGCCATTTTTGCCATGTATATTGTCTTTATTTTCTATGTTGTTAGTCTATAAATCAATTGGATTTCCACTTCTGTCCGTTGACTCATACCAGACCCCACCACTTGTTTCCTTTTGCCCTCTTCAGATATGCTTTCATAAGATGGCATATTTGCATTCCATTGCTTGTTACTGTTGCTGCTTGAGTTTGCTGAGCAGATAATCCATGCAGAGCATTTTGTTAGACTGCTGGTCAACCTTTTCCCCAGACTCTTCTGCAGCTCAACAGAGCAGATAGCTTCCACATCATTCTCCCTGCATTCCAACTTTGAAGCAATTGTGACACCACTACCATTGATAGGAATTTGCTTTATTAAGTTCTCAGGCCTTACCTGGAAAATGGGCATTTTTCATAATTTGAGGTTTGTAAGCTCTTTGTGTGTGTGCATGTGTGTGTGTATGTGTGTGTGAGGTTTTACCTGCTTGAGAAATTGAGAGTGAAGTGGGTATAATCTTTTTTGTGTAGGACTTCAAGCTAGGTAAAAGCTTGGAAGGAGATAAATCTTGACACTGAAAGTTTTTGGATAGTTTGAGTTTGGCAGGAAGCACTAGATATATATTCTTAAAAGATACGTTTTTCTATTCAACTTCCCACATACATTCCATTATATGAACCCTTTATAGGGGGTTATGAACTCAAATGCATTTAGGGCCCACCCAGCCACATACCTAAGCATTTGAAATGACCTTAATGTAAAAGAGTAAGGAAGTAATGAAATCTATGGCAAAATGGAAACGTTCTTAGAGACACTCATATTCAGTTTTCTTTTAAAATAATGTGTATTGGCCAAAATAAATGACAGTACTATCTGCATGCTAGTTTCCTAGAGTTATCAAATTTAATTGCTTTACCATTTGGTTATCATCAGCAAACCCAACGGATTGGCACCCCTTGAGAGCACCTGCAGATTAAAAGCAGCCAACCTCTTAAATGAAAACAGAACATAATGAAACAATATTTAATTATTGCTGACTTGGTGTTGGGTGGAAAAATTATTTTTTATGCTTTTATGTATATTCATTTTTTAAGATGAACAAGTATAAAGCTCCTCTGTACATATCCAGTCTAATTGTAGATAAAGGATGTCATGAAAGAAACTAAGTCCCAAAGAACACCCTCAAGTTGAATAGACTTTCTAGCCTTTTCCTACTTTTCATTTTCTCAGAGGCTGTAAAAAGAAGCAGTAGAGCAGGAACTCAAGATTTCATTTTAAAGCTTAAGTGACTCAAGGGATAAAGAAGATGTGTACGAGGGAAACCAGACTCATGGCTAAAAATTTTATTTTATGACCATCAAGCAAATTTCATTGATTTTTATTTGGGGCCCACCAGTCTTAGTAGAACTCTAAACTGAAAAAAACGTTTCCGTGGGTGTTTCTTAAGCAAGTTGGTATTGGAAATAAGCTGTATGTTGGGAAAGCCATACCAGAGGATTTACAGCACATTTTGTGTGCTAGTGACATGTAAATTTCAAGCTTGTTGCAACAGCCAGAAATGCCCATCATGTTTCTACAAGTAAAGATTTGGGAATCTTGTCACATTTTTTCACTCTGCTTTCTGGGTTCTGGGTTTAGATCTAACAGTTCAGCTTTTAGAATACTTGTTTTTTTGGGTAATTTACTTGTTTTAAAATAAATTCAGTATACTGAGATCCAGATTTTGTATTTTTTAAAATTTTAACAACTTGGGCTTTACTGTTAAGAATGTTTCAGTTTAGAGAAAGGATCCAAAGTTTAATAATCCATGCCTAATTTTGTTTTCTTTCATGATGATGCTTAATTTTAACATAATGACTTAGTTTCCCATTGTGAACTCTTCATAGGATGTTACTGATTTTATCAGTCAGTTGTTCATGCAGCTGGGAACTGTGAGGGTACATGATTTGAGACATCTGAGGAACAAACTGGGTGAGCTGCATTGAAATTTTTAACTTCTTAAAGGCCAGCAATGTTTGTTGACTGATCTGGGAGACGGAGATGGATATTGGAG